ATACACACACACACACACACACACACACACATATATATATATATATATAATATATATATATATACATATTATATACATACACACACACACACATATATATATATATATATGAAATACACATGCGATCTATACTTATATGATTGCAGTGTTGTTGTCATATTCGTTCATATATATACATATATGAAATACACAGACGATCTATTATTGTATGATTGTAGTGTTGTTGTCGTATTCGTTGTTAGACTTAATACAGGGTGTTCTTCATGTACACACAACTGAATTCATTGCCCTCGCATTCTACTAAATAAAATATGTATACTGCGCTTATGTAACACACCAACCTGATTGATAAGAGACATGACCTAGATTTAGCAGTGGCGTATGTAAAATTACTGGTTCGTTGACAGCGTACACTTGACCACTGAAGTTTCGACAAATCGCTCTTGCGCATACATATCCTTCTTTGTTGAAATGAAACATCCTAAGTACTATACATCCTGATTCCTGAAGTTCTGCTTTTGATTTTGTGGTTTTGAAATTTATATTTACTAACCCCCCCCCCCAAAAAAAAAAAATTGCACAAAGGCCTGTTGTTTTATACTAAATAGTTTCACCTTGTATTCCACTACAATATAATACAAATGTATGACCTACATATGATCAACATTCCATATATAGCCTTCTCTATTCCTATAGGCCGCGTGCCTCAAGCGGTTCAAAATCCGAATCTCACTTATCGTCTAACCAGCGGAAATAGAGCCGGACGGGTGACTACCTTGCGGCCTTACTACTGTATCCGCTAACCTTCTTCATATCGGTTGAGTATGATTTGGAAGGTACAGACGGTGCCCACGCATTGGTCAGCCAATGTATATCTTCGTATCCGGTGGCCGAATTACCGATGTTAAGCCAATTGTCAGTAGTATCTGGAAAAGGGTAGTGATTGCCCTTAACGGCGAATTCGTGCAGGGTTTTTACTGCGTCAATGAGATTAGTATCAGTCTTCTGACTTCGATGGTGCCACATCGAGTTTGCCCTCGAACGCAAGTTGGAGCTGCTGAGCTCGTTCTGGTGAGCAATAAAATACATCTGCAGCACTACAGCGGATCGGATAATTGGTATGGTACCATATGTATAGTAGAGTCTAATGTCTGGTCGGAAAGTCTCGTAGGGTAGCATCGCAGAATAGTCATATTGCGTGCTTATAATATCATCGGTTATAGCTTTGAAAGCATCACTGTGAAGTTCAATACCCATCTCCTCGTTTTTGATCGTCAGGTATAATTCCATGTACTTGAACCAAGTGGCATGATTGTTATGTGTGTCTCCGGCTGCATTCGCCATGTGATTGAATGTCATCCATCCCAGGAATTCATTTCTCCAGTATCGCACCGAGTTTGCGTCCTTCTCGCTTCAATGCTTTCTACCCCCTGCTGTCAGAAGTTCTAGCATTTCGAAAACATCCTGTATGAATCGATTGACCTCTATGATTCCGTATTTTTGTCCCGGAATGAGACCTGTAATACCTTGCGCAAAGTTCGTGTTTGGGTTCATTCTGGTCTTTTGATTCACAAACCAGGCTCTAGCCCAGTCACTGGCGACTTTAGCGTACTTCTCATCGCCAGTATACCAGTAAGATAGTGAAGAAGACAGAACCGCCTGTAGCATATTGTTTTTTGCCTGCTTATCGTTGGGGTTATTTGTATGCCCATTTGCCATACCATCACACTTAGCATATTGTCCTTTCTTGTAGCATTCAAGACCAGACACGGGGTCAAAGTCTTTGCTCAAGCGCCTGTATTGTGTGTTTGTCAAGGTTTTTCTATAGCCAGGTAATTGTAGAAGTTCATGATGTGTGAAGTCATCGTCTGTGAACTCTGCCAATAAGCAGAGGTTCTCATTAAGACAAGGGGCTTCCTCGGCCAACCAGTAGTAAGGAGAAAACGTATAGTAATCGTTTATAGAGGAACCGGGCCACTGGTTTGCACCCGACCCTTTGTTCAGCACAGTGTCTATCGTTTTACCCTGCCATTTCTGTGCCCTACCAATGATCGAACTTATAGCATCCTTGATTTCATTTGGATGTGATCTTAGATACATAAGAGACGGGCCGTCGATCAGCAGTGTTCGAGGTTCAGTAGGAGACGAATCTGTGTATTTCACTCCTATACTGATGTACAAAGTAGTGAGTACCGAGACTTTGAATAAATTTACAGCCATTGTGTTTACTACTCAGAAGCACGCGTTTATACGCGCTTACGAAGTTTGTTCTATTTTATTATAGCATGCACGTTTTGTTTTGTCAGATAGTCGTCAATATTCACTCTGTCGGTTTCGCTCAGTATTCTGAAACATACAATATAGTTTTACACATTTAAAAAATAGTGAATCGAATCGCCAAAGATAGCATTCTCCGGCTCAGGCCGATAGCCAGATACAGAGAGTGTATGCTCAAGAAATAAGCGATGCAGGCGCTGGCCAAATCCTCATGGACAAGTTTGCTTATCAATACACTAAATCGTCAGTAGTCATCTTACTTCATGCGATCATCATCAATCACTCATCTCTCCACTCTCCACAGTCCACAGTCCACAGTCCACAGTGCACAGTCCACACTCCGCAGTGACATACTTCACACTCTGCTCTTCTCGGTATGACAGCCATCTCGATTTTCCAAGAAAATTATCATACTTGTTTTAAAAAAAATAGCTATATATGTGACTTCATATGATTATAAATCATAATTCTGCATACATAGCCTCGTAATTGTTTTTGTTTCAAAAAAAGAGCTGTTTCAGTTTTATCAGCTATGTATGACTTATGAGAAATATATAGATCGTACAATGAGTATCAAAATTGAGGTATATTGCCTAGCAACAAGCCAACAATCATTGCGGTAGCTATCAGAATCGCTCAATACTCACAAGAGTAGTCTTGATTCGGATTTTTAGTTACACGGAAAATAATAGATTTCATTGCACGAGACTGAGAGAGAATAGTGAATTAGAGATTCAGTCATTCAGATGCATTTTTCAAATATCCATATTCCAAGTTCCAAAACTACCAGCTTCCAAAAAGTTCCAAGTTCCAAGTTCTATTTCCACAAGAAATTAAGAATCCAAGTTCCACACATTGACATGACAGCGATTACAGATCACCGATCGGATCATGTCGGTCAGATTTTATTATGTACCCGGGAGGTCTCAATAGTCAATACTCAATAGAGCGAGGGGACTCGCGGGAGTGTCTGAAACTCTACCTATGCACCATTAATGCATTGGCATTTTAAAAATATTTTCTCCTTACAAGGCTTGGTTAAAATAAATAAATACCAGTCGACTACATAGTAGTCGACTAGTCGTACGTGTCTGTACTATAGCTTATTCCTTTTTAAAAAAAAAGATAGAAAGCTGTTCATACACGCTAAAAACTGACGTTCTTCATACACATAAATAGTTTGTTTTAATTTTCCTCATGTAGCCTTTCACTGCCTTAAAAGCGCCTTTGACCCTTTGTGTGTAACACAATTCATGGGGGGTGATAGGGCCGACAAGCCGTCGATATGTATTTATTTTAACATACATTCCGGGTATTTTCCTGCACCTCAACAACCTTTCTATTAATAGATTCATTTTCTCACGCTTGAAAGGAAAAAAAAGAAGAAAAATAATAGCTTGATGCACTTTGGAGGCAGATCCTGTCGCCACCGTTCCCATCAAATTGTAATTCCTCACGTACGCTCATACACATAGGGAGTTTCCTGCCCTGAATATCTTGTTTTTCAGGTGTCGCAGTAGTGCTGTACTCTTGGTATTCACGATGAGATGGTAAATATTTTCGATACCTGTAGCGAACGGAAGGCATGTGTCCATGTGCTCGCTGTTCCCACAATTCGTTAAACAGAAACAACGGGGAGGTTTGTTGGTGTGGGTGTCCCATGCAGATCTAGAGCGCACTGCTTTATTTTTGTTCGAGCGTTTAAGCTAGAAGATGTGTAGCTCAGTTGATGGCAGTAGGATGCAGTTCATACCAGACTGTATGACCTATTACAAGCGACATTTGATTAATTACAGGCCTATTCGAATTCAGTCGTAGGGGAGGGTTCGAAGGATTACCTACACGAACATTGTACCACTAAATTTTAACACCACTAATTTATGTATGTATTGCCAACAAAATGATAGTATATATATAAATACAAACAGGGCATACGTTAAACGATCCACGGTTGCATTTGTTGCACAGCCAATACAAGATTACTATCGACAAAAATATAGCTTTTGTATCGTGAATTGGATTTTATTATTTTAGTTTAATATTTCATGTGGAATTTAGATCATCAAGTTTTGATAGGTGTATTTATACAGGCGCGTACTACCGTATTCGCAAAACTTGGATGCGTTACTCGTTACTTTTGATATTAATATAGTCCATGCGTCGGGATCATAGACATCTCGAAAAGCGTTGTTTCTACCAACAGCTAGAGATGGGTGACCATTTCACTGGCTGCTCATGCAGCTATCTGACTATTGTTCGATGGCAAACTCTCGAATCTGCATTCCACCGACTAGCTGTCCACGGCGTATGTAGATTTGCCTATCCTACACGAGGTATCTGGTGTATCCGAATTTAGTGCTCATGCTCAGCTCCAGAGGGTCTACTGAAAGGGACAAGGATATCCACTCTAGTTAAAGTGACATCCCCATTTCCAAGTGGCGCCACCACCCGCAACTGCGAGGCACGAGTCGTATTGGTTCGACTGCCGTCTTGCTTGGAAGCGCTTGCTATAGTGTGTTACTCAGCATACACGTGTACATGTTATATCCGCATCGCATCTGTATGCGCGATGTGTGCACACGCGCGTATGATACGCTGATAGTGACCCACCGTGAAACACCAAGTCCGCGTTGTCTCCAGGTAAATTGTACATAGGGTACAGCTCACAACGCACCAGAAACTACTACAGAAGCCGCCTAATAGGGTTGGAGCTCCAGGCTAGAATGGCTCCGGTTGCTTCCCCTACTTGGATGTTTAGTAGCCTTCCGAGGATGCTATACATATTATACTTGACATTACTATCCTTGCATCTTACCGTACAGGGCAGCCGAGTCGTTTATAAACAGTGTTCCTGCTGCTTTTACTCAGACCTCCTGGGAGAAAAGGTAATTATTGAATTCCTGATAGTTGATTTCGCCGTCTCCTTCCAAGTCCGCCTCTTTTATCTGCTCGGGCAAGTACCAAGTGGAGCAGCGTGTGTGTCAGTCTAACAGTGAAGAACACTCGACACTAATACCATACGCTAACAAATGCACAGTGAAGGTCACCCTGTCAGTCTAACAGTGAAAAACACGCGACACTAATACCATACGCTAAACAATGCACTGCGAAGGTCACTTTGTCCGTCTAACAGTGAAGAACACTCGACACTAATACCATACGCTAACAAATGCACTGCGAAGGTCACCCTGGCAGTCTAACTGTGAAGAACACTCGACACTAATACCATACGCTAACAAATGCGCCACTCATATATAAACATATGACACGTGACAAGTGTGAGATACAACCAGGTTGTATCCAGAGGTATATCCGACATCACACACACACACACATACAAGACAGACAACAACAGATTGTATCCAGGGGTATATCCGACATACACACGACACTCACACCCACATACACGACAGACAACAAAGATGGGATTGGCCCACAAAGACATGTGAGATGTACATACAATCTGCTCGATCTGTTCCTCGCTGCAGTCCTGGTCCAGCACTTCGTTGAGTACGTAGGCGAGTTCGTTCCTGTCGATCTTACCGCTGCCGTCGCGGTCGAATATCTCAAACACACGTTTTATATTTTCTTCTTTCTGTGGACGGGAAGGTACGGGACGGGCGGAGGTTACATACATGTTCAATGCAGATATGAGATTAGGAAGTTTTAGCGCGGGCTACTCACCCCTGTACGTTGTATAGGCATTACAGGTATATACAGCACGGCACTTCTGCCCGCGGAGGTACTTGTGCTGTTGCTCGTGGTGAAGACAGAACCGAAACCCTAAAACCCTGAACACTCCCAGCGATATATCAGTATACCAGTGATGAGCTAGCAACCAATCCCCAGTAAGAGTCACAGTCAGTCACCAAATTGCCTAAATAAATACACCTGCTTCTGCAGGTCACTGGACGTGACTGCGTGTGTGGATGCTTGAAAGCCGAACAGTGAGTGCCCCAGCAACACTACCAATCGGCCAGAGAACATAATACTAAAATAGTCTGAGATGCTACACACGTCCACAGCTTGTCGCATAGGGCCAAGAAACCGAGAGTGTGGTAAGAGAATGTTGTGCACTTGTATGGGTATGCAAGTATACGTGTACTCGTGTATGTGTATGCAACTATACGTGTGCCCATGTGTGTGTATGCAAGTACATGTGTACGTATTTGGAGACATATGCGCGCGTTTCAGTAGACGTGTGTACATAGGGATCACATGCAACTAAATCAATACCAAACCTCACCTCTTGCATGCTCTATCGCCCCGGTATCCATGCCAACGAACCGGTCCTTACAACCACACCACACATTCCAAAACCCTACTCACCTCCCCCTTAGTATGCACAATCCGCCTAGCCATCATGCCGATGAACTCGTCAATAGAGATAACCCCATCCCCATTCAGGTCTGCTTCGGCCACCAGGATCTTCAGCTCCTGCGCCGTCAAGACTTGGCCCAGAGCCCTGAACACCAGGTCGAGCTCGTTGGCGCTGATGGATCCGTCTCCGTCCCTGTCGAAGATATTGAAGGCGTCCTTGAACACCTCAATGTCTGGCATGTACTTGTTCTGTATGGCGGGGAGAGGGGTGAGCGAGTGGGTGTGTGTATGTGTACACGCAGGTGGATGGGTAGAGGCTGTGGAGTGGTTATAGATGTGGTGCGTGGGACGGGCGTGTGAGGGATGGCTAATAGGATCGTATACCTACCAATTTACCTACATCTGCATGTGCAGATGCGAATGAGAGGATCACAAGGGATACCTACAATGCCGCATATCACTTTGAATCGATTCATGCACACAAATAGACACACTTATTTATTTGGCAGAGGTCACACAGGTATATCTGTGTGAACTGATCAACAACAGATGCCTGTGTACAAAGCACACATAGGAATCATACATACAATCATACATACAATCATACAACACTTTCAAGAATGAAGGAGGATACTCTCTTTCTTAAGGACATATACATATGTTATAAAGTCACAGAGTTTTGAACGTATACACAAGTCTGGTATAAACGAGCTTCCGTGCACGTCAGTAGATAGATGATAGACTTGTACCACATACATACATGTTCCTCTACATGTAGTGCAGTGTAAATATTCGACAGACACTCCGTGATATTCCAAGTGATTGAATAAAAAAAATGAAAGTCCCTCCGAAACAAACAGTTTATTAAATATTGGCACATAATACTAATACAAAGTGAAGCATGCACTGACATAAGCCGAGACGATAGGAATAGTCCAAGCCAAAGGCAAACAAATATATATGTACGTATTCAGCTACAGCCATGGTCAGTTCACACCCAATAGTACTTTGAAGCATCCCCGGATCAGGCGAATACTCTAGATATTCCAGAATCCCACACACTCCCACAATACTGCAACACATATACCCGAAACTCCAAGATCAGAATCCCACACAATAACTAGCGTATATATACCTATAATTGTATCATAGAATAGATATTAAATATTTAGAATTTATAGAATATATTATATTATATTATACTATTATATATATATATATATATTATATATACATACATACATACATATATATATTCATTGTATACATATGAATTTATATTTATATACACACACACACAAACATGTATATATACACACACATATATATATATACATATACGTATATATATATATATACATACAAACATGTTTATATATAAATAAATATATACGCGTACACACGTATGTGTATATAGAATTGACATGTTTACTTACATCGGAGCGATCACAAGCCTTCTGATAGTCTGGATCTTGGGTGTAGAACTTTCTTGCCATGTCCATATCTGTTTTGTTTGAGGTGCCAATGGTCATAGCGGCCACGCGAAACTTACGCCGCGCCGTAGAGTGCCGTAACTTTTCCATGTGGGTCTGTGAAGGTCAGTAACATTGTTGGAAATTGACTGTATGAGTTTGTGGACCCGTAACTAAGTATAAGGGTTAGGCATGTACCAGGATATTACTTAAGAGGTACTGTCTCAGGAATAAAAAACGGATGGAATGGATTATGAAGGTGCGGTTGGTGCAGGGAAAACGCATCCCCGTTGAAGTGCAGTTCACTCCCGAAGTACTCATACACGCTCATATATATAAATACATTTGTACCACTCTTCGTACCACAGGCAGCCCTGCCCAGTAATACTAGCGTCCGTT